GTTTTTCAATCACTTTCATATTTTGTCAAAACTGAAGGCGATTGAACTACAGCACGGTTCTGAACTCGTTTCTCGTGGGATTGCAAAAAATCAGCATATGTTTACGATAATTTTGAAAAATTAAAATCTATAAAAGATGGGAAGCTATTAAATGACATTTTCCCTAATTTGCAAAAGCGGTGGAGGCAAATTCAGCTTTTCCGGCTCGCAAAAAATGAAAAACACAAAGCCAAAAATATCAAAATTTACCGATTTACTGCGAAATTAATATCCTGGATAAACTGCAGCTCTTGAAATAACAGACAAAACTGGGGAACCTTTTGCGAAGGAATTAATTTAGCTTGCTGCAGAATATGCTGCAGATGATTGAACCATCCAGGATATAGCATGAAAATGTAGCAGTAAGAAAAGAATGCGATGCCAGCACCGTACATATATACATAAAACAGCTGAAAAACTGAGCACCGAAATAACACTTTTAGTGCAGAAACAAATACTATTCACTAGTTTATTCGATTATGAAAAAACTCGATGCTTTAGTTGTTATGCTTAACATGCATAAAAATTAAATGTACAGCCTAAAAGGGTATTCTTCTCACCCCTGCCTCCCTCCCCTCCTTCGAAAGAACAAAACGTGAAACGCTAAATGAAGAGAGCAAAATTCAGATAAGAAAACATAGAATTTTGCTAAAAAAGGCATGAAAAAGCTATGAAAATCAGTTATATTAATTTATAGCTGTTAAGTTCTACAAAAATGAAAAATTCTATGCATAGTTTTGAGCAGAAATGCAGCAGAACAATGTTTTGAGCAATTACAGCAACAAAACAACCGTTACTCGCCTTCTCCTCCTTCCCTGTCCGGAGGGAAAGTAGACCTTAGGGAGCCTGTTAATCTGCCCAGCTATTTCAACCCTTTTTTTCAACCCCTTTTTTACAATGTGATTTAATTTCTTTGTAGTTCTTGAGGAACGCGAAAGTAGCAAGTACCATTTCGGCTAGCCAATCATCACCACCAAATTTTTGAAAAATCTCGAGTATCAAAGCGAATGTAACAACCAGTAAGCCATAAAGCAGCGTGAGCAGAGATGTTAAATATTCGCTGAAATACTGTGAACTGAGAAAGTTGATTTGAAATTTTATCCAATAAATCCGGGAGCTAAATGATAGCTGCGTCAAGTGGCGCAACTAGGACATTTGCAAACGAAGACAGAATTTAAAGATAGCTAGCTGGAAGAGAGACATAATCGCGTATTGCCTTTGTTCCTGACTAAACGGCCTTAAACTGGCCATCTTTACCCACGCAAATTTACCTCGCTACTGCTCGGGCAACGGAAGTCCATCAGTTTTTTGTGAAGCGATAAACAGAATTGCTGACCACGCTTTCTGTTGACGAAACCACGGTCCCTCTTCCACGGCCTCATAATCGAATGAATGCATTGAGGATGCCAGCGATCCACTGACATTTTTTCGAAGAAATAGATTATCAGCTGAAGTCTGTCCAGCGCAGCCTCTTCCTTGAATAAACATTTTGTTGGTTTACAGGGGGGATTTACACAAACAGTTTTTGTTTGGTTTGTTTATGTCAGAACCTCAAAACTCTTTATTATTAGAAAGTAATGGGGCATTCGGGACTGTTCTGAGCAGTGCCACTTCACAAACAGCAATTAACTGCTGGCTACTAAAAGAACATTCCTGAGTATGTGGAAAGACAAATTTTTGACTTGTTTACTAAAGGGCTATTTAACTTCACTTTGTTTTTTTAAAATTAAAAAAATATGATTATTGTCGCACACTTTTTAAAATTCAAAATTAACAAAAACGAGTTAGCAAAAAAAATGAGTTCACTCACCTGTTTGGCTAAAGTTATCGGCGCTCTCACTACGTTGTGAATATGCTGTGGAAATACCTTGCTCTGTTTTGTTGATTTCCATAGTTTACTAGCGAATGCGAGCAAAAATGCCCTTTAAACTAGGTACACGTCATTGAACTAGGTACACGTCAAACTAGAAATCATGCACTACAGCCACTTTTTAGCTTCCTAGATATTCCGAATAAAGATAAAAAGCATTTAAGCATTCATAGGACGGCTGGAAAAACCTTTTTTGGCTTGATCATTTCATTACGTAATATGAAAAATTACGTGCAAACAACGACATAAATTATTTGTCAAATCTGCAGAATAATCAACAAATTAACCAAATTATTCTCCAAATTGACCATTTGGTAACGGCAGATCGAGAAACATGAGACCAAATTTTTTGTATAAAGAGTTTAATTTGGAAAAGAGAGCATGAATTTTGAATGGTGTGATGGACATGGAGTAAGGTTTGCCGTTACCACATGCTTACAAAACTTCTTCGGCCCTAGGCAGTACGAAATGTGAGTTTCCATAAAAATACATTTCAAGCTAAATAGTTTTCGGCGAAAAACTAGTGCAAAAACTGGTCCTTATGATGATGAATGGGGAGAATGATTGTTGAGTGGATGGTGTACAATCTCCAGCTAGTTTGTTCTCAAAGTCAAATGAGTCGTGATTCGGCGGCTTTTTCAAAAAATTCTTTGCTCATCAGCTACGAGAAATCCCACTCATTATGCTCACAGTTGAAAAACACTTTCTCTTTTTCATTAGTTGGATATTTCGTTTTGCAGGAAATTGTTTGTACGCATCGGAACTTAGTTAGGATAAACTTAAGTGGGCTTTCGTTTCAAGATTTTCGGTCAGTACTCAAAACGCAGTTCTATGAAATGCGACAAAGCGTTGCTAAGCGTATTATTC